CTCTCTCTCTCTCTCTCTCTCTCTCTCTCTCTCTCTCTCTCTCTCTCTCTCTCTGCAACTCTCAGATCCGTCTGTTACTGGTCTTGCTATTCATTCTCAAATGTAATCATAACAGATCATTATTATCAATGTAACTCTTGTGATGAGCTAGACATGATCTCCATGGTGGGTTCCACTGAAACCGAGATAACATAGATCTGAGGCCCAGCTTAGCTATAAGCCTCTGTATATAAACATCTGTAGTCCTAGATTCTCCACCTGTTGTTCATTGTTGTTGTCTATAGATTCAGCGACACTGATTTTTCTGTGAGTTCTTGTGATTTTCATTGTAGATTTGTCTGTTGTGAAGACAAAAGACTCAGAGTGGCTCTTCTTCTGTCCGTTGGATCGGAAGTACCCAAACGGAAGTAGAATGAACCGTGCTACGGTTGCTGGTTACTGGAAGGCGACGGGAAAGGACCGAAATGTGAAATCCGTTAAGAATTCCATCATCGGCGTTAAGAGAACCCTGGTGTTCTACACGGGCCGAGCCCCGAAAGGGACAAGAACCTGCTGGGTTATGCACGAGTATCGTGCCACCGAGAAGGATCTAGATGGCATGAAACCTGGTCAGGTAATGTACTTTCTGTCTTTTGGTGTTTGCCGCTTCCAAAATGATGAAAAACACCCTTCACTTGACATTGTCATTATCTAAACTGTGAATCTTTATTTTCTGATCTGGTTCTTGTGTTGTCCTACACAGAGTCCATTCGTCATATGCAAACTGTTCAAGAAACAAGACGAGAACCCGACAGCAGAGGATTCGAAGTCTGATGAAGTTGAGACCCTTGTTTCGTCTCCGGCCATTGCAAAATCTTCCGCTGATGAGTCGAAGTCCGATGAATCTCGAGCCTTAGAAACATGTGAAAGAAAGCCCTTCGAGGTCTCGGAATCTTCCCTTGTAGCGATTGCAGAGTGTCACAGTGACCAAAGTGACACTTGCGACCAACCTGCTAAAGTTACTTTTACTGAGGTGAGAATGAACAAAAACCCGTATTTGTTTCCTATACATTGGATACTTAATCGCGTTTTAATGTATTTTTCTTGAACTGTTCCACAGATTGAAGATCTCAAATGGCTGCCTGTTGAGATGGAATCCCTGGATTTCAAAATGTTCTCTCCATTGCACTCTCAGGTTCAATCAGAGCTTGGATCATCCTTTAATGCATTTCGATCTGGCTCTGACAACTTGTTCAGCAACCACGATGGCCTTCAAATTCAGACTCAGTATGGTACAAACTACGAAGATGCGTTTATGTCCGAGTTTTTGGATTCGATCCTTGTGAATCCAGACGAGTTTTCCGGTACGGTAGCACCACCAGTTCAAGAACAGGTATAGTGGAAAATACCCAAAGCTCATAATACATCAGTCGTTAACTTCTTCCTCGGAAATCTGTATGGCTAAACCACAATCACGGAAAAATCTCGTCATCTCTTGGAGCAATAGTAAGTAACTCAAATGCACCTCATGTGTTTGCAGGTAATACAGGCGTATCTCGATCCAGACAATTGTACTGATGTGTACGAAAGGGGAATCACGATTAGGGCACGGAGGAGTCCACAGTCTCAAGCTTGCATTGGCAATGTTTTGATGGCTCAGGGCACGGCCCCGAGAAGATTACTTCTCCAGAGGAAACTCGACGGGCTTGAGTCAGGGCCCGAGAATCATCCCCGACTTCAACATATCAAGAAAGAGGTGAGGATCTTAGGAGCGGTTATTGAAGTAATGCTTCTCAATACACTTGATTCCATCGTGGAGTTTCGAAAATCTACTAAAATCAATAGTTGTTTAGATTTGGGATTTCTAACAACTCTATTTAAACCTACTAAAATCATTTGATAACTATTTGTTAATAACTGATCTTGATCAATAACAATCTCGTCGTTTTCCCATTACTTAAGTCCCATTACCTATGAACAGTTGGCGAAACAGCACAAACACAGAAAGCTGTTCTTGTCTAACTGTTACAGATTCATTAAAGATATGATGACCCGTTTGTGTTACAAAAATGCACAGGTTGACGACATGGTGACAGAGATATCGAGAAAGGGACGTGAAAAGTACGTTAGAAGGAATAACACCGGTTTCATATTCAAGAAAATCGCGTCGATGACGACTTGCTCGTACGGGGGATTGCTCAAGGCGGCTGTTGTGGCGGTCGTGTTCTTGACATCTATCTGCGGTCCGATGGCAGATATCTTCTGACGATATCGATGTCCATGTCTCGCCCTCTTCGTTGTCGTGTATATAGAGCTCGGCCCTGATTCTTTTTCTTTCATTACAACACCTTTTTTTGTTGTATCAGCTTCATGTATGTATTTAGAAATATGAGAGAAAGATGAGATGAGACAGAACCGATCTGTTGTAATGAACTTCAGGGTTAGTACGCCGT